TACGAAGAAGCTAAGAATATCTTAGAAAACGTAGCGAGAGTAAACAAAACGTATATCAGCGAAAAGAGTTTGCAAGCTTTGATGAATCCACCAAAAAAATCCACGACTTCAGCAGACGTAAGTCTTTTTTTTATATAAAAAAATAAGTACATTTATGAAACAGTTTCTACTGCAGTAGTTTCAACTTTAAATTATGTGAATTGATTGTGTATTTTTAAACCTAATCCTTACATTAATTCTCAAAAACAGTGTTGCTCAAGTAATGATATTGCTATATTATAAGGATTAGCAGAATATAATAATATCGATATCAACAGTAATAAAGACAAAACTGGATAAGCGACAAGACTTTCAGACATATTTAATTTATTGTTCACTAGCTTCTATATGACACTCAAGCCATATGAATATTTTACAGCCGAATTATCAATGTTTGTATAATAACCCATTTTTCGGTCTTTAGTCCTTCCTATAAGGACAGATATTTGATGTGATATCAATGTGACAGTGCTCGAGAAAGAATCGTTAGATTTTTTTTATATTTTACAGATTATTATTAATTTATACCGCTAGTCCACAAACAATATAATAGATTACGGTACTGAAGCTGTATTTTATAATTTATTGCACCGATTAAAACTTTGCTGTTTTTATTGCAGGCAAAGCAATAAAGTCCAATTATTGTAAAGTCGTTCTTGATGTTTGTTACGCTTATTTAGCCTCTATGATTAGATATACATACACGTACAGTAATATGGTGCATGTTGTGACATCTTCAAATGTTAAACATTTTTCTATATTTTGTGTTAAGTTTTTAGATAAGATGTTACAATGTTTTAACAACTGTATGTTCTTTGAATAAATAAATAAATACTATACAAGGCCAAAGTATTTTTTCAAATTATAAAAAATGTTAATACTTTCTTAGATTTACGCGAATATTTGACATTTTAGATAAAACTATCTTTTCGGATTATTTCGCGGATTTAGTTTAATTTTTGGTTCCTGACGTTTCAAATGCTTTACAACAATCATGATCACAGAAAAGACTTATAAAAAATATAACATTTTAGACGTCTCAAAAGCGTTATATACTTGTTACATTGTCTGTCTGCTTACCCACAACTTTACAAAAATGATTTTGAAATTCAAAAAATGCCAGCAAAGTACCTTACAATGTTTGATTTTAATTCTAAACATTAAGTTAAAGTATTAAGCAACACTATTGAAAAGACAGTTTTGTCTAAAATAAATAATGCTAGTGAAGCAGCTGTTGTAGTTATTATAAACTTACTTTACGGTCCCATGAAGAAAAAGATATTAAAATTATTTCATTTTCTTTATGTTTCATTGTAAACTAAAACTTATTTAGATTTATAATTTGAGGAGTGTTTGGTGAAGATAACAAATGTGTTTTTGTATTTCCTTTTTTTAGATTGAAAAGCCTGGCTTGATCCGCAGTGTAATAAGCTCTCCTGTACTACTTCGGCGAGTATGCACGACGCCTATATGGTGGATCACCACAACTTTTGTATATTATGGGCTATCCATCAATTCGACGAGCCTCTCCGATACCATGTACCTAAATTTCATATTGATTTGCGCTATAGAAATTCCTGGCTACGTCACAGTAGTTCTGATTCTCAATAGAATTGGAAGGAAAGCTACCTTATCTACTGGTTACTTCTTCAGTGCTCTGTGTAACATTGTATTCGTGTTCGTCCCTAATGGTAAGTAACTTGTGTATTTAATAATAATAATAGTCTTTTAACGATGTTTCCCTTAGTAACTCTTAATCAATGTTGCGTCAATAGTATCTTGTTAAAGGTAAATCATTTAAATGATATTGTATGCTAGTATAACGATTCGATTTTTTTTTTATAATTGGTGTTCAATGAAAATGACCATAAATAAAGTCGATCCACGACATTATATTGAGAATTCACATACTTTTTTTCAGATTTCAGTATTCTGCGACTAATTATCTTTTTGCTGGGAAAATTTGGAATCTCTATAGTAGTAACGTCGGTATATCTATTCACGTCAGAATTGTACCCGACTGAATACCGTCACAGTCTTCTTGCTTTCTCTTCTATGGTTGGTCGAATTGGATCTATCACAGCTCCGTTGACACCCGTTCTTGTGCGTATTTTACTTTTCCTACTATAAATATTATAAGTTTATCTGTTTCTTGCAAAATTACAAACATTGATATCTGATGACGAATTACACAGGCTACGAAAGTCTTTACTATAATACTTTGAATAAAATATTTGCCCGTATATGATTTTATAAACTTAAGTTACAAATTAATAAAAAGGAACTTATAATATCATTTTTTTGACAAAAGTATACACATCTCTTAAAATGATTTCGAAATATGAAGTCTAATTAATACTTTATCCAAGTTATGTTTGAATTTACAGATGGAATATTGGCATGGTATCCCATCAATCATGTTCGGTACTATGGGCATAATCTCTGGTCTTCTCGTTCTGACTCAGCCTGAAACTTTGGGAACTGCCATGCCTGACACTCTAGCTGAAGCTGAAGCACTAGGACATACAAAAGGGCTCTAAGCTGGATCAGCCAAGTTGATCTATTTGAACTCAATTTAGATTAGGACAAAGAAAAAGAAGAAGATTAAATCTTTAAGAACTATTTTTATAATCTCATTTGTTCTTCAGACATTTCTAGATTAATATTATATATTATTATTTATTAATTTAAGAAATTTAAAGCATTTCCAGTATTCTTATTTATTTATATATATAATAAGACCTTTATGTAGAAATATTTTTTTAAATTCTATATAAAAATATAATTTAACAATATTTGTTATGATTTAACCTAAAAATCATTTGTAAAATATAAATATTGAAAGTCTTTTATAAGACAGGAAACTGTTCATCAAAAGGGGGCATTCACTATACGAGTATTTTGATATACTACCATACATATATTGTTAATTGTTATATGTGGAATGTTTGACCGTCTATTTAGTTTATTTATATATAATTGCTTTTTTCTTAATGGTGTAGCATTATGTTAAATAATGTCTAACCTTGCTCAATAAACAACCAAACAACATATAATGCGTATGACCTGAAACTTTTTAAGGTGTAAGTGCAAACTCGCTATATCGTAAACTTTATCTATGCCTTTGAGCTATGATGAAGGTCAAGAGTAAGCCTATTTGAAATAAAAAAAAATTACATATATTATAGTCCTCCGCCGCGTCTGTCTGTCTGTTCGCGATGAACTTAAAAATTACTGCACCGATTTTCATGCTGTTTTCACCAATCGATAGAGTGGTTCTCGAGGAATGTTTTAGTATATAATTTGTTAAGTTTTTGTATACATTGGCTAAAATATAACGATATTTGTTGGAGGTGTCGGAAAAAATAAGACGTCTGGGAGCTTTCAACGAAAACGCTGCCTAAGCCCTTTGAGATATAACAAAATAGTGTATTGGAATTGTGTATCTTATATAGGTGTACAGAAAAGTCCTCAATGACATATGTCTATCTCTTAAGGATAACATATCATATCCATATTAACACTTTAAAAAATTGGCAATTATAATGCGATAATATAAAAGCTATCTACACAAATACGGTATTAATCCTTATCATTTTAAATAAGTTGGAGGCTTTACGCATTTCATGCACATTATTTTACTTTATTTATATTTATATATGATTATAGTACAGAGAAGCCGAGAAATTCAAAGATTTGTATTTCATACTATTATTAAATCTATAATAGACAGTTTTATTTTCCAATGGCATCTTAATAATAAACTCTTTATTGTACACCAAGGACACAAGAAAATAAATAAATACAGAATAGATAGATAATGTACAAAAGACTGTCTCTTCCAGGCAACCTTTAGGTGTAGGAAATAGCAAACTTTAAGAGGGAAGAGGTGTAAATAATAGAGGTTAATATATCACCATACATATATGAAAAGTATAAATATAAATAAATAATAATAATAATAAAATAAAATAATAAAAATATTACTAACATCTTTAACATTCTTGAAGAGATGTCGGGATCATCGTCTCATTCCTACGTGTGTGAAAATATAATCTAAAAAGAACATACGGGGAAGCGCCAAGATCGTTAACAAGGCAAGTTTGAGAACCAAAAATTTAGATTTTCGCGAAAACTTGTAAGTACGAAAATTTACCTTAATTTTCAACTTATTTTATTTTTCGGTATTTTCCCTTTACTTACGCTGTAAGACCTTGCTTTTAACCAAAATTGACATTTCTAGGTCAAACGGAAGTACCCTATAGGTTTTGGGTCGAAACCTATATGGTGGATCCCGTTGACCTAGAATCACGAAATACATAATGACAATACATGACAGGAAAGAAAGACAAACAAACAAACACACTCTCATATTATAATATCATAATTTTAGTATATATATATATATATATATATATATATATATATATATGGACGTAAGTCCATTAAAGTTAAAGTCAAAATAAAAGAACAACAACAAACAATAAGTCAAAATATAAGAACAGAATTTTATAATTTCAGTCAACCATAATTTATAAAGAATAAAGAAAATCGTTATCAATTTGAGCACCAGAAATTGGTACTTCGCCCATAGTAAATGTTTGTTGCTTTCCAAATAATGATATTTTGTTTAAGTTTTCGAGTGGACGCTACATTATTTTTAGACATTATTGAGGATTGGTAAGTTAGGTATTGGAAATATAATCAAGTACCTTTTTTTCGTTTTACGGAACATATTTAAAAAGTATTACGAAGTTCATCAAATGAACTTTAAACTTCGCTTTCGACTTTATTTAAAAAACATCAATTTTAGACGCAATAAATTTTGGTTCATTCTTTATTAACAACATACAATAACAATATACTTGAAACGTAATATTTAATCTTGAAATGTGCAAAAAACAAGATATGAGATTATAAAATACACTAAAATCTTATAAATAAATAATGTCTCAACATCAACTAGTCTGATCGAGCTTATAGTTCTTTTTTCCTAATGCTTCAGCCTCGGCAAGAGTGTCAGGCAGGACAGATCCGAGAGTTTCAGGCTGCGTTAGTACTAGCAGACCTGATATGAAGCCCATTGAACCGAACATTAGTGAAGGGATACCGTGCCAATATTCCATCTGAAAATGAAATTATAATTCAATTAAGATAATATACAAAATTTCAAGAAGAATACTTGTGTAGATGCAAATGGTGGTATACATATATTCATTGTAATCTTTTATATAATTAATTAATATAATATTTTAAATAAAAATGTTCGCAATATCTATTTGTTTATTTATTTGAAGAAGATATGCCCTTCCTCATTTTTTCAAATGTTTTAAATGTTGTAGAATATTAAAACATCATTAAAAATAATAGGAACCAAAACGATAATAAAACTTTTACGTGCGATACGTACAAGAACGGGTGTCAGAGGCGCTGTAATAGATCCAATGCGCCCAACCATAGAGGAGAACGCGAGGAGGCTGTGACGGTATTCAGTCGGGTACAATTCCGATGTATATAGGTACAGTGCTGTCATTACTATGGAAATTCCAAATTTGCCCAACAAAAAGACAATAAGTCTTACAACAGTCATATCTGAAAATAGAAAAAATATTTAAATAATGTCACAAAACTCAAATATATTTTAATTTGTTCTATCTAAATTGCCTTATTTAAACCTGGGCGACCGAGCTTCGCTCGTGCTTCGCTCGGAGTTTTTGGCCAAAAGGACAATATTCTTTTTTTTATAAACAAAAAACTTGAATAAATACAAAAAAAAGTAAAAACTTTGTGTTTGGTCAATAAAGTGCACTTGTCAATGATAATTGAAAAAAATGCAGTTTACAAAGTAAAAATTATCGATTTCTCCAATTTTTTTAAGGGTGTTTTTAGAAGATGACCAATGTTTTTATATTTTCAAAAAGTAGAGTTCAAAACGAAAAGAATGAGCCTTATTCAGCCGAAAAATTGTACGAAAGAACTTTTAAATGTAAACGCCCACTTGAAGTTGGGGGTGATTTTCAGCCTATCAAGACCATAACACATACTTTTCTCGGAAATGGCTAAACATTTTAATTTCATTTTTTTTATTTATTATTATTATGTATTTCAAAGATTACATTTCTTTAGTTTCATGGAAGTCAAAAGATTATTCTAGAAATTAAAAATAAATAACGGATAAAACCGAGTTTTTTGCAAATATCTCGAAAACTTTGAGGTTATTGTAAAAAGTGTTTGTATAAAAGTTGTAGTTTATACTAGACCTACAACTTTTGTACAAAACATTTTTCGATAGAACGTCACAGTAAGCCGGAAATTGAAAAAAAAAACTATTTTTCAACGCTTTGCGTCCCCCCATTTCTCGGGGGTAGATGGGCATATGGGGCATTTTTCGAATTTCTATTCCTTATATACCTGCTAACATTTTGAAATCATAAAACTTAAGGTTTTCAATATATTTTTTTCTCTTAAAAATAAACGGATTCCGATTGGTCTAATATAGGATTAGGAGCTGACATTATGTTTAGAAGTCTGTTATTTTTCAAGTCAGAAATATGGACATTAATAAGTTTAATTTGCTGATAGCAATCCAATCGATAACACTGCTTATTATATACGTATATTTAATTATTGTTAATGCTTACCAAATATTTACTAGAAAACTGTTTATACTTTATTAATCTTAATAGAAAAGTTCTCACCGTTGGGTATAAATACAAAGGCAATGTTACACGCTGCACTAAAGAAGTAACTAGAAGACAAGGTAGCTTTTCTTCCAATTCTGTCAAGAATCAGGACTGCTGTGAAATTTCCAGGTAGTTCTATGGCGCAAGTCAATATGAAATTTAAGTACATGGTGTCTGAAAGGCTCGTCGAATTAATAGATAGACCATAATATACAAATGTTGTAGTGATCCACCATATTGGCGTCGTGCAAACTCGTCGAAGTAATACGGGGGATCTTAATATGCTACGGACCAAACCGGGCTTTTCAACCTAAAAAATAAACAAATAAAAGCTCCTTTTAATCTTAATACATTGTAAGTTGATACTTTTATTTCTCTAAGTTTCTTTAATTATTGTTTTTGGATTCGAGAATATACCCATCACAAATATTTTAGGATAAAAGTTGTGTATCAGGGATTGATATAATAGTAAACAGATTTTAGAGTTCTTATCTTTAATTTTTCCAGAATTGACCACGCGACTGAAAGTCTAACTCAAGTTAAGATCAAGTATATTAAACATATAATAAAGTTTAACGTTCTGCGCAGTTTTAACACTTTTACATACTATACCGCAGATTTATGGGGAAATCGTAAGCCATACAATTTCCCCATAAACTAATTTAAAGCCTTGTTGCTAATCCAATTTAAAATAGTTATAAGAAAGAAATATCGCGAATTGTTTAATTTAAGTGAGTTGTTTATTTTATATTTTAAAGATATATTAAAAGCAGCACTTACATCTGGCACAGACTGGGGTGGTTGAGGAGGATTCATCAGAGCTTCCATACTCTTTTCACTAATTTGCGTTTTATTTACTCTCGCTACGGTTTCTAATACAACTCTAGCTTCTTCAAATTTCTTTTTTGAAAGGAGCCACCTTACGCTTTCGGATAAAAGCCAGTAATAACTTATGCCCAGAAAACAGGGTATATGCAAGGCCATGATCATGTATCTCCATGATTCTATTAACCAAGCTACTCCGCCAACTGTCATCATTCCAAGAGCAAACATGGACGGTGTTAAAGCACTTACAAGTACACGATACTTTGGTCCAACAAGTTCAGCGGCTGTAGATATTAAATTTTATATATAAAAATAGCAATTAATATAACACTATAATAATATTTAATGTAATATTCATTTGATTACCAAAAATATATGCAGAGCTGAATGTTCCAGCGCCGAGAGTAGTTTGGAGAATTTGAAGGATCAAATACATAGTATAATTTACTGAAAATGCACGAATCAAACCGATAAGTGCAAGGTTGAAGAGACTTATAACTAGAGCCCATTTTCTACCAAATCTATCAGAGATGTAACCAGTAATCGGCAACACGAGTAATGTTCCTACACTATTTAAAGTGCCGGCCAAAGCTCGGAGCCATTCTTGACATCCTAAGTCGAACTAAAATGAGAATATAAAAATTTAAAAAAATATACTTATTAGAACTTATAACATTTTAATAAAAATATAAAATAATACGATAAGTACTAATTTTTCAAATTATTAGTAACTAGCAGAACTCGTGGATTCGCTCACGCTAAAACTACAAAAAATTATCTAAAAGGTAGTTTCATACAAACCTTCATCCCCTATTTTACTCTCTTATAGGATGATTTTTGAAAAATGCTAAAACATGTGTGTATTTAATTGTATTGAAGAGCATTAATACCGACTTTCAAGTAATTCTGATCATAAATATTTTTTTGGTTTGTATTATAACGTGTTTTCCCATGGAATTAGATTATTTCCCGCGGTAAAAAGTAGCCATGTTACTCTCCAGCCCTTCAACTATTTACACACAAAAATTAACGCTAATCCGTCATTCCGTTTCGACATGAAAGAAAGACAAACAAACAAAGACACTTTCACATTTTTAATATTAAGTATGGAAGTATGGATCTCAATGATCCTAAAAGTTAAGAACAATTTTATGCGTTCTATTTCTAAACCCTATACAAAGTAAAAAGCTAATATAATATCAACTGTGTTTGTTTTATGTATAAAAATATTTTTCTCTACAAATCATTCATTATTATATAAGAGAAATATATAAAACGTATTTATAAATTATTAAGTATTTCTCTTATTCTCTTTTTTTGTCGATAACCTCACCTCATACACTACAGAGTTGTCTCTAGCGTAAACAAAGTCATCACAAGAAACTGTTTGCATTTGATTGAACAGGCCAACTGGACAGTAGTCAAGGGTACCATTGGTTCCTAAATTTGAAGATGCAAATCGTTGACAACTCGAGAAACCCGAACTGGTTTCCGGTATAGCATTTAAAACCCACTCTGGTTCGTAAAGGTTCAATTTACTGTCTTCGCCACATTCTGGAATCCGACACCTGATAATTACAATAAATAATAAATTATCATCGTATTACAGCTTCAAGCGTATAGCACATATTAAATTATCCCTGGTATTGAATGTAGGTATTTTAAGGAAATAGTTTACCCACAACATAAACTCCATTACAACCCAATAAAAACTATTAAATAATATGTTAGTCTCAGTGTACGCAATGAAGTTTCTGGCACAATAGACAGTACAACATCAATAAATATCAAATTACATGACAACTGTAACATTTACCTGAATACGAATATAATTAAAACGCCTAATTTTACCTGTGTGGTATAGCAGCTGCAGAAAAAATATACTCGCTCATGAACGCAGACATGAGCAGTGGTACGGAAACCAACAGAATATTTCTTTTCTGGTACCAGCCGAATTGCCCTAACTCCTCTACCAAGACAGTGTCAAGGTCCAAAGGTTTCTCGAGCATACTGGCTTTTCTTCCATTGGATTTTCTTGAACCATCCACTCCATTTTCTTTTTGTTCTTCAGCCATTCCGATTTATTTTATTTTTTTATAGAACGCGCAGCTCCGCGCGATGCAATAAACCATTTGTGAATGATGTCAATAATTGCGGTTATCATCAATTAGCTAAATATTTGAATAATACTTCTTTTATCAATTTTTTTATCAAAATCTTCGTATTTTAATTAATCCGTTAATAATCTAAGTAAAAATGTTCCTAGTTTTCAAATTAAATCTTATTACTCGTATATACTTTAAAAATGAATAAGAAATCATTTAGACTGTACCAGTTTATTAAGTAAAATTAATTTCCGAGTACCACGCAGATATCTGCATCGACTATTACTATCTGGTCGTGCCTCTCACCAGAACAGTCTTCGGCGCCAACGCACTGTCCTTCGTTTATATTTAAATATATAATAAACTCAGATAGTTAATTGATATCAACGTTAATTCGCCTGACACTTTTCGCAAATTAATAAGCAGCAACCTAGTTAGTCACTCATCCGAAGTGTGATATACCACTGTTAGCCCGAGAGCTCGTGACGAATTTTGGGAAGGTCCTTTTGGCAAGTTGAAAATGTGAAAAAATATAATTTCGTAAATTGGCGAGTCCAGTCCCGCGAGTCTGGTATAGCTTTAGCGGTTATTTCGTTACTGCGCAATATATAACATTTGCAAAAAAAAATATTCAAAAAAATCGAAAATGGTACGAAAACCTTCGCACGAGTCTACATGCGCGAGTCCTAAATTAAAAGATTAAACAATAATCGAGTTGCCAAAAATATATTTGCCAATTCACGAAATTATATTTTTTTTCACAATTTCAACTTGCCAAAAGGACCTTCCCAAAATTCGTCGCCAGCTCTCTGAGTATGTCTCATATTAGTTATTACGTATATTTTAATTTAATTTCTTTTATTATATATTTATTTGGGTTAGATTATGACTACTGTTAAATCTAGTTGTAATTTTTATTAAAACACCAATTATTATTAGTTTCACTAAAGTGAATCTCTTTCCAAACTACATATATTTAAATTAATAAAGGTTTTGCAGACTTTATCAAATTCCTTTGTATTTTTTCGTTTGTAATGCTTTAGAGCAATCATGGTAATACCAGTGGTAGGACTCTGTCAAGCCTGAGGAGTCCGACTGGATGGGTACCACCCCTTATCTATTTCTCCCGCCAAGCAACAATGATTACATTGTTGTGTTTGGAGCTTTGAATGGTTTGAAGGATAAGGTAGCCAGCGCAATTACAGGCAAGAAGCATATCATCTCAGTCCTCACAGTAACAACGCACCTACGGTTCTGCATTTTTGTTACATAAAACCTAAGTGCATGAACCGTAGGTGTTATGGGTGACTGGTACCGCTTTCCATCAGGTGGGCTGTCTGCTTGCTTATCACTAAATACCATTAAAAAAATGGGCACGGGAGAGAGAGGAGCATTCAAAACGTCGGGAACCAAAAATCAAAATAAATCCGCGAAAAAATCCGAAAAGATACTTTTATTTAAAACTACCAGAAACCGCGGCTTCGCTCGCGCTAAAACTACAAAAAATCTCAAAAAAGGTAGTTTCATCCAAACTTTCATCCTCTATTTTACTCTCTTATAGAATGAATTTTGAAAAATGCTATTTACACTTACATACACTTATTTATTTGATTTTATTGAAGAGCATTAATACCAAGTTTCAAGTAATTCTGATCAAAAACATTTTTTGGATTGTATTATAAAGTGTTTTCCCGTGGGAATCAGGTAAACTCCCGCAGTAAAAAATAGCCTATGTCACTCTCCATCCCTCCAACTATCTCCACACAAATAATCACGCCAATCCGTCACTCCGTTTTGACGTGAAAGAAGGACAAACAAACAAACACACTTTACATTTATAATATTAGTATATTATTTATTATTAGTAGTGACCCTACTTGCTATGCCATCGGTCGCGGGTTCGAGTCCCGCTGGAGGCATTCATTTGTGTGATGAGCACGAATATTTGTACTCCAGTCATGGGTATTATGTATATTGTATATATTTAAAGTTATATATGTGTAGTGTATCAACTGCCTGGTATCCATAACACAAGCCTCGTAGCTTACCATGGAACTAGATGGTGCTGTGTGCTAATGTTCAAAAAAAAAGTTTAATTTACAAAAAAAAGTAATAATAATAATATTAGTCTAAGGCTCTCAGTTCTTCGTAATAATATAATGCTAATAAAATATTTTATTTGTGTGGTTGTATTATTGCTGGTATCCTCAATTCCACATTACTAATAATTGTATAAAAAATATTATATAATACATATACATTGATTTGTTTTAATTCAATTGCGGAATCTGCCACAGCGCCAAAGAACTTTTGCTGATAGATTACACGCACAATTTTTTTCTATTATTGGGTCGCCGCGCGGGCGGGACCGCGGGTAGTGCTAATAATTATAATAAAATCATAGAAAAGTCATATCTGCACATTAATTCTTTTTTATTATATAATAGATTACATTAGAATTAAAATTACATATTTTGAAAACACTATTTGATTGATTAAATCCAACTAAATATTAGTCGAGTTATTTTTGTGTAAAATATCGCTATTGATATAGGGTTTTTTCAGGAGAAGCTATTTAGTATAATTAATTTTTTACCTATTTTGTAAGTTATTTTGCTCAAAGGTTTATAGTTTCAGCGTGGTTTTATTCTAATCAGTTTTCGTATTTTTTTTAAACAGTAAAAAGTATCCTCTATGTTAACCCGGATAAACTATCTCTCCGGATAGCTCTCATCATACCAAATTTCCTCAAAATCTGTCCAATAGTATTCAAAAAGTGTGGTTTTTGTGGTCAGACAAAAAAATCTCAAAAATAATGATTCGGCCTCTGTATCGATAATAATGACTTGATGAATATTTCAATCAAATTCTCCAAAAACATTTAGTGTACAGATTTGGCTAATTTAGAATTTTATTATATGTATAGATTAATGCTTAAAATTCTGATTAGATTAATTTGTAGAATATATGAAATACCTACGTAAATTATGATAAAAAATATATTTTGATAAAAGTAAAATTAAATAATAATTTATTATTGAAATCATTCACAGTAGTTCTGTTATACACATTCATAGAACACTCTGTTATTTAAAAAAATGAGCTTATCATTCCCTAACATTAAAAAAACATGATTACCACTTGCCTTGCGGTGAACCTATATATCTGAGCGAACCTAACAAATTTTTGGAAGACATGTAAAGTTCGCCAAACTTGATCAGGGTCTGTCTATTTTCCCCCCCAACGTGCGTTCACCTTGTCGTGGTGGGGGGGCTCAGTAGTGCCCGGCAATCCAATCGGGCGCGAAGCCAAGAAACGCACAGGGAGGTTGCCCACTTCGATGGGCGGTGGGAGGTGGCACTCTTCGGGGGGCGGTGTACCATGCGGGTTGCTCCTGGTACTTCTCTGATAGCAGAGTGGACCTTGGAGCAACCCCATGGTTGTGGTGGTCTGCTTCGGCAGACCTGCCGTCGGGGCGTCGTAGTTGAATGCGTAAGCGATCCTGCGACGCCCCATTAAGACGGGGGAAGGTTTGTTGGGTTTTAGTGGGTAGTACTGGCTGTATTACGCCGGTGAGTCCCACACGTCGTGCGTAAATGCATTTCCCAACGTTAAAAAAAAAAAAAAAAAAAGGGTCTGTCTATTTAAAAAATTGTAGTATTTATAATAATAACAGAAAAAAATAAATAAATAATATTGATGTAATTTATATAATTTTAATATTTATTAAAAAAATTCATCATAAAAAAAAATCCTTGTTGGTAAGTAGTGGGTAGGCACTGTCTGTAACAAGTATGTGTTTGAGACGTCTATAACCTTAGTCTCTCCCGTGACCATGATTGCATTCGAAACGTCGGGAACCAAAAATCAAAATAAATCCGCGAAATAATCCGAAAAGATAGTTTTATTCAAAATGTCAAATATTCGCGTAAATTTAAGAAAGTATATTGGTCAGGGTCGTCAACTATGGCGTAATAAAAACTTTTTAACAAAAAAATAAAAACCGACTTCAAACAAAAGCACGAAAAAGTAAAAAATAACTGATTGGTAGTTTTCATTTACTATACATACCTAATCAAATATTTTCGAAGTCGGTGTGCTTTAGCTAAGTAATTAAAGCCTACTTATTAAATACATACCTAATCAAATATTTTCGAAATCGGTGCCAGCCCATACAAAGCAATGAAAAAAAAATGCTAAAAAGTTTTGTTAAAAAGTTTTTATTTTTCCCGTTTTAGTGTAGACAGTAGTAGCAAAGTAAGATTTCTAAAGTGTTAGGCTTGTTAAATCAAACAAAATAAGCCCAAACTCGAAGTATCTACTATTAGTCGTTGAAGAGTTCCACCTATCCACCTTCTGGCCTTACCATCAGATCAAGTCAAGAATACCGAACCACTGTACTATCAACGGAAATAGAAACACTTGCAAAGTTTCAAGTCAATACGAGTATGACAATTAGAAGTAGGTTAAATTCATCATTAGCTATTTTTCCACCCTTAGGGGTGGTATTTTTTTTTTAAATTTAAATGGAACCAATCTGGAAGTATATCCTTTCAAACAAAACAAAAATTGTCCAAATCGGTTAATAAATGACGAAGTTCTGAGGTAACAAACATAAAAAAAATACAGTCCAATTGAGAACCTCCTCCTTTTTGAAGTCGGTTGATAAACCTCATATTGAAGGGAGGCCCAAGACCAGCTGTGGAACGTTAAACAAGGGCTGAAATAAAAAATATCGTATCTAATTTCAAGTATATCAGTTAGAAGAGAGACAGCAGACTTTGTTAGGAGCATAATAGGTTAAGGTTAGCATATGTTCGAATGTTGTTGTTCTCTCCTAGCCGATTTCGGCTACGGCGGCCATTCTCATTGAGATTAGCCAACTGCGCAGGAGATATTAGAGTGCTCAAGTGTACGCGCAGACACAAGTGCACTCTCTATTCCTATCACTCTCATACTCCGGTGGGACG